TATGTATGTATGTATATTGTATATATATATATATATATAGATGTCTATCGACCAAGATTGCACCGAAGACGCGCAGCGAGGAATCAAGCAGCAAACATTAGCAAGCCATAACGGCTGCAAGATCATCAACGGCACTCCGTGTTGCACCTTCGTTCCCATCGTGGAGCAACAAGAAATTCAGCACTGCTCCTCCGCAGGTACTGCCTGCTTAGGGCTCTCGAAGTCCAGCCTCATCACCCGTGAAGCCCTGGGCTGGAACCCCTAAGCCACACAGGTGGGCACGAGTCACGGCCGAGGTCGCTGCGGTCCAAGAGCCACGCTTAACCTCAGGCCTGGGCATGGCAACGTGAGAGGAAGCTTTAGATCCATGACATCCTAACACATATATATATATATATATGTTATAGTATAATTTAAAGTATAAAATATACAACCTGCTGATGCCGGTGCTGCTCGTGAGTCGGATGCATGAGCAATTTCCCCACTTGTAGGAGACGTTCTCGTCGCAGCAGGTGCCGTTCATCCAAATCGTATACATCTTACCTACCGCACCACGAATTCATTGCCAGGGGCAGTTGCAGCTCAGAACGAATGGGTGTTTCGGACTGGATGAAGCTAGCTCATGTGTCGCTTCTCGGATAAGCGAGATAGCAACTTCATGCCAATAACTAGTTGACGTTTGCAGCATCCGTCGTAACTCATCGTCTTTGCTTGCAAACTTTCTGGCACCTCCATCACTCTGAGCTGCAAGTCTCATGTTGCAGGGTGTGTTCTTGTACCAAGCCAAGAGTGTCACTCGTATAGTTTCTTCAGGGTGGTTGTGGACAGAGTGTCTTCCATGCTTCTGGGCCTCTGACCAGTTCAATCCCAAACTCTTGCTCCCTACTCCCTACACCCTGAGCAAAAAATCCAATTAACATCAGCAGTGGCTGAGCAGCGCACGCCGGGTCCAGCACTTCCCTTGCTGGCCAGGGCTGCAGCGACCTTCGGAAACCGTAACACCGCGTCGCGGCTCACTGGTTGATTGCGCCACCTCCTGCTTGAAATCTTGTCGTTCTTCCAGAATTTGAAACTGCTACTTGAACGGGACTTGTCAGGGCATGCGGAAAATTCAATTCTCGAGAACGGTCTACGCACCAGCCTTGGGGTCACAGCATCCTGCCACAGCCCGGACCTGCGGATCCAACAACGTTTGCTCCTCAAGCCTTTCAGGGCTACGTGAACTTGAAACATGATGTGGGCTGCTACAACAAAGAGGCCATGGGTTCGTTGACAGCATGGCGAATGCTTCATCTTTGGGCACAACTAGCTGATGGAATCGCAACCTGAGCCCCAGGCATTGTCTCGCATGGGATTTTTGGCCTTCTTTGTCGCGGTAACATAGGCGCTGGTGACATACTTCTCGGCCTGAAGCCGGGCGCCAAGAGCAAAAGCTCGAGATGAATCGTATCCAAGCCTGCTTTTGGGCCCATCTTTCGTTCGTTCCTGGGGCCTGTTCCTAGATCTAGGCAAGCGGCGTCGATTACTCGGACCTGGGACCTCACCCTCTTAATGGAGCACACCTGTGGTCCGTGCACGCACATAGCCCCTACATAGGCGCAACGAAAGCTGTACAGTCAGTGTCTGATCTCAGGCATTGACTCCGCTACCTGGGATCCAGTCTTTGATGATGTCCTCGGAGCAGTAGAGCAAGAAACATCGTGTTTAGGCTCGTCCGTGGTTTCCTCATGAACTGAGCTCGCAATCGAAACTCGATGGCGAAAGCTCAAGCTGCTCCATGAGAGCGCGCAATCAAGATGTGAGACCAACTTGCCGCTTGTGTGGTTTGCAAATGCCACAGCTTTCCACAATGACATCGGGCTGGATGTGTGTGTGTGTGTGCATGTATGTACGTAAGCGATGTAATGCAATGAAGTGCAGCACGTAAGTCAAAAGTGACGCACAATGCAAATGAAAATTGAAAAGTCAAGCATTGCAATATGGTTACGTTATATAATGTAGCGCTATGCGCAGTCATGTAAAGCAGGTAGTCTAGTGTAGTCTCGCGTCAGTGTAGTGTATGCCTGGGTGGGCGTTTGTGTCTGTGTGTAAACTTGATGTATTTGTGCATGTGTGCGCTCGTAGTCTGAAGCACAGGTCATGGCTTGTTTGATCCA